TCTTCCTCTTTTTCTATTGCCCTAAGGTTCCAATTAAAAATTTGTTTTACTTTAAATTTCTCGAAGACTTGCGTCGAATATGGCCAAATCATTTCCACTTACTTTTTTTTCCAGTTTAATTATGAGTCGTTTACTGCTCAAAATTTTTTAGGAAATGTTAAAAACATTTTTTTTATTGAAATTTATCGCTTTCGTCTTCATGATGTCTGCACAGTCTCGCCAAAATTGCAATTAGGATAATTTCATACTTTTTAGCTCAGCCTTATTTTAATGGTTATATGAGTATGCCCAATACCCAAGCATGGTGACTCTTTGTTGAGCTAAGAACGGAACGATTGATAATGCACAACTCTTTGGTGCACTGTTTTAATGAACGATCATGGTTCATTAGAAAACCTGAATATTATACTTACAATTTTTTAAGAATGATTCATTAATAATTCAGTAATAATAGTTCTGTGACATCATGAATCTGAACTAACAGGATTTTGTCTGTTGTCATTTTGTTTCGAGAAAAAAACATTACTCCTGAATTTTTGATTGGAATTCTGTGATGAAACATCCATGCATCATCTTAATGAAGAACTTTATTTAATAAATATTGTATTTATTTTATTAAAATTCGAGAGCTGTTTTGCAGAATGACACTTAGCTTGAATTATGAGAAAAAAATATTAAAATTCTTTGATGAATAATCTACGAACAAGCTTAATGGAGATCTCAAATTAATGTATATTTTATCTGGAATAAGTTAGTGTATCGGGAGAGAGTTTGTTTTAAGGAATAACAATTCTATTTAGTTTTAAAAGGGATTTTTGCATTATTTGATATCATTCTTTCAAATACCCTCTTAATAAATAGTTTAATTAGGCTAAGCTTCGTGTCAGGACGTGTGTTTTCTTTTCTCTTCTGAATAGTAACACTTCTTTTGCACTTCGAATAGGATTGAGTTATTTGATGAAATTATCTGATGTTCTCTCATGTACTATCGTAATTAAAATCTTGAATTTATAAATAGATTAAAAAGAACAAGTTCTTTATGTTAAGGCATGTTGTTTTGAAGAATAACACTTTTCCTGAATTTCCATGTGTTCCCTTATAAAAAATCTTGAATTTACAATTAGTTTATCTGGATGAAAGTAGGAAATGTTAGGAAAGGTTTTGCTTTGAACAACAATAGTTTTTTTTTAAACTTTTGAATGGGATTCTTGAATTCTTTGTTAAATAATCCATGTATCATGTCTAAATGAAATTTTAATTTATATATATTTTATTTGGACGAAACTTCACGTTAGAGCTAGTTTTGCTATAAATAATACTTCTCTTGAATTTTCAATAGGAGACTTAAATTCTTTTATGAATAATTCATTTGCCATCTTAATGAGTTTATGAGTTTTTGAATAATTTAATTAGTCTAGGCTTTGTGTTAGGGCATGTAATATAATGTTGAAAAATAACAATTATCGTGAATTAGAATGGAATTCTTGAAATCTAGGCAGTAAGGGTAATATTGTTATCATTGAAACCGTTGGTGGGTGATTGCCAAATTTTAATGTTTTTTGAAAGATCATGTACTTTTTACATTTTGTATGCTTCTTACTTCTTCTTCTTAGGCACTACAGCTGATTACCGGGCAAGGTCGTCTCAGTTTACCCTATCTAGATCCATTCAATTCGATTTCTCCATGTATTAACTCTTAAGTCCTTAACCACTTCTCTTCTCTATTTTACCATCTTGTTCTATTTCCTCTTCTTTTCCTTTTTTTCCTCTGATGTTTGGAAAGTTATTTTTCTTAGCAGGATTTTCATCGCTGTATGGGAATACATGCCCTAGCCTCCTTATTTAAGAAACCTCGATCATTTTTACTATGCGAGGTTCGTTGTATTTTGATTATAATTCATGGTTGTAACAAATTCTCCAAGTTCCATTTCCACTTACTGCACCAAAAATTTTACTTGATATTTTTCTCTCGAAATTCATTAGTTTCTCTTGGTCTACTTTGCTAATTTCCCAGAAATCGCTGCCATATAAAATTATTGGTCTCACTAGTGTTTTGTAAAACTGCATTTTTGTTTCAAAACTTATATATTTAGATTTGAACTGGTTTCTTAATCCATGATAACTTCTGTTAGCTATGTTGATTCTGTTTTCGATTTTAATTTTTATGTCGTACTACATAGTCGAAAACTATTTTCAAAGGAAGTATATAGCTTTTTATTACTTTGATAAGCACAATCATTTAAAAAAAGTAATCGGGATAACAGCTGTAAAGATTTTTTCGTAGGTGGACCTATATATTTGCCTCAAACAACGGGCAGCGCAATATGGATTTGTATGTGCGTTATTTAATAAAGGTTGTATCTCAGCAAAATTAAAGGAGGTAATGAACGAAATATCTATGTTCACATTTACAAATAATCACGAGGACACCTGCTACACGAAAGCGCCTCTGTCAAAATTTAAAAGTTACTTTTAAAATAAGAAAATAAAAGTGGTACTTTTGTCCAGCTCTATTTAATAGAATCTGAAAATATATTTTTATTATCATATTCGAATCCTATGCATTTAAGTAAAATTGCGTTATTTCAAAAATAGATAGTAATTTGAATTGTGAGAAAGTATCAAGAGTTCTTTTTTCGGAATTTCCTTAAAAAAAGTATTTAACCCTAATGACTATTTGCTTTAGAACTCAGTATCAATAAATCGAAAGCGAATACTGTTTTTTCTTATTATACTCATCAAGCTTAAAGTACTTCTCTTTTATTTTATGTACTAAGATATATTGCAGAAAATATTACGCAACTTTTTTAGGAAAAAAGCATTTTTCCACATTACCAGGAATGAAATGTAAATTTATAGTACATGTTTTATCAAAACAGTCATATATTTTTAAATTATCTCTGAGGTATCATTATGATACGAAAGTTTTTCAACTCATTTAAAAAAATATCGTCAAAAAAAAATGTGAATAATCAATCCAGAATCCCATTTCGCCTTTGTTGAAAAAAAATCAGAGAGAAAATATATACAGATAAAAAAGAGCTACAAAATGCTACAATTACCCTATCAACCCTATTTCGCGAATAACTGATGTTATCGCCAGATGGCGCAAATGCTCTTAGAATTCTCGATACGTACATTTATCCCCAAGCTATATTTCTATATCTTTTATGTGGAATCTTCAAAATGACGCGTCTTTACCTCTCATCAGGCTTATTCAGCTGATGTATATCTTTCCGAAATATACATTCTTTTTTGCCCCTTTTTATCCCTATTTCTGGAAACTTGAAGTGATTTTTTTATTTGAAAAAAGAGAAAAAAGAAAAAGCGTGCTTCTTAAACCTCCCGCTGAGTTCATGTGCAATTTTGATTGAAAGGTGCTCTTTGACAAGGCTTCACTTTATTTTTTCTTTCATTTTCGCGCCAGATTTCTTGTTTTTCCCCATCATGGGGATTTTGGTATGTTTGTGCGTGTAAAGGATAGGTATTTCATCTTGTTTTATATCCCTCCGCTTTTGCGATATATTTTATGGGAAAACCGATTTATATTGAGAAAATATACCCTCATTCTGTAGGCACAAAGCTTTATTTCCTCAAACTCGTGCAAAAAATTTTGATATTTTATTGAATATTGGTGATGAATACATACCGATAAAAGATAATAAAAAAGTGCACTGTAAAAAGTAGTAAATGAAATGAAAATATGTAGTTTTTTTTAAAAAAAATATTGGCTGCTCAATATGAGTAAAATTGCAAAATTGAACAACTATTAGCTCTGATGACTTGCAATTTTTTTTTATCTTTGCTCATTTATAGTTAGCTAATTATATTTCATTCATCACTATTCATGGCTTTTATAAAATTGTTTAAAAAAAATGCAATAACTTCGCAATGACACACTTATTTCGAAAGGAAATCTCACATGTGTCTAAAAATTAGTGCTAAATCTTAGAGTGAGCTCAATTTCTTGTTTGTATACGCAACAAGGAGCATTTTAAATTTAGCGGACTTAAGATCTTCCTATTGTAATGATATGGAAGCGAAGGAGATATGATACTACCCTAGGCGTTGACCATGTTATCGAAAATTGATACGAAAAGTACAAGATAATCCAGCAAGCAGTTTAAAAAATGGATTCTTAATTTAAAAATTAGAATAAATTGAGATTCCTAAAGATAAATTAGTTGATGTTCGGCTGCGTATAAATGTGACTGTAGATCTTATTTCAATCCAAAAATTACTGATTCAGTGCAAAAAAGTTCGATATACTCAAAAAAGGAAGTGGATAGTTAACCTGCTTATGAAAGTAGTAATTTATTCCTACTGAATTTCAAAACTAGTTGCAAGCCTCATCAACAGATAGTGCTGCTGACTGTCTTCACTGAATTAGGCATTAAAAAAATAACAGTTACTTGTCCGATTAATGCCCCAACTCAATTTATTATTTGAATTGTCATAACGAATAGCTAGAGGTTTAAATCTACTATTTTTGCTATTATTTTATGACAGCCAATATTTCAAATAAACTGTTTCATCATCTGGATAATTTGAATAACAGTACACTATGCAGGCAATATACTTAATTCCAATGTTTTTTTAAGACAAAAATATTATACTTTTGATACATATACAAATCAGGCGACGTTGAACAAGACAATAAAGGTTCTCGGTACTCTTAAGTGAGATTAATTTATACAAGCGCTTGTTATAAACTACATTTGGAAAGTTTGTTACAAATAGAAGACTTTTCCAGTTTTTAATATTTTAAAAAAAAATTAACAAATAGTAGTAAAATAAAATTTCTCGGTTGATACTGTGACGCTGTGAATTTAGAGAAAGTGTAAATGCTTATATGATTCAAGCGATTGAGTTGTCTGGCCCATTCCATACCGTTTATCCCGTTTCAGATAAAAAGAAAACAGGAAATATGAAACTTAGAATTTTTACATAGTAAATGCTTAAAAGTAAATTGTTTCATGAAAATATTTTAAAATGCTTACGATTAACCATGAGTACCAAGTCAGCCCTGGCATGCCCATGGGAGTTCTTGACGTTGCAAGAGTAGTTTCCTGCCATGTCTCTCGTAACTGAAGCATTGAAGGATAAGACGTGAGACCGAGACAGAACTGTCTCCCCCACTGTCCAAAGGTAATGTCCAGGAGGAAAGGCAGATGCAGAACAAACTACGTCTTCGGGTGTTTCTCCTTCTACGATATCAATTAAGTTCAAGGATACCTGGATGTTTTCTGGTGGATCTAGAAGAAAAAGTTACTATAAGTATTACTCATTTTTGAAATCTTGCTAAAAGACGCAAATAGGAACAGTTAAAGATGCAATGCTGATATTAGATATATACCAGAGCTCGAAAAAACTCAGAAATTTTACACGTCCCCGAGGACGGATTGTCCAACAATGTATCCGTCCTCCTTTGAAACTAACCCGTAGCTTCTAAATAAATGAAAATATAATTTTTTCTTTTTTATTACAAACATTTATATAAATTGCACAATGAATTACTAATAGTAACCTAGTATTTCTTTTATGAAATACTTATTTCTTTTATGAAATAATTTAAATGACAAAGGTCAAGTTATCTGGAATGTCAATTTATCCGAGGGTACTGCGTTTTTTAAATGAATCAAATATGACGTTTGCCAGTTCCAAAATCAAGCCAATGATTTACAGATGTTTCTGCACAGAAATCTGAAAGGGGTTTTCCAATTAGGTGGATGTTCATAATTGCGTTTAACGCTCCTTGTTTAAGATCAGTACGTAATGTGTTTTTTCGTAAGTTCATTGCTGAAAAGCCCCTTTCAACCGCTGCAGTACTCCCAGACAGAGAAAATATCAATTCCACCATGGCAGTATGTTGCTGTATTTCTAGATTAGAGAGTCATTTTAGAAGTGAGGCGTTAGACTCTGGTAAGATAACAAAAATTGAAAATGTATCACAAGCATTAAATGGCTGTCCGCGCGGACGTCGGATTCGAGGAATTCGTAGTCAGCGGGAAATTTTTGACCACCGAGGATGGGCGGTTTTTCGAGCCCTGATATATACTAATGTAAACTAAAATGCACAGAGAAATACCAAGTGCTCAAAAATGGTAGAGAATTTCCATATCAGCTAAAGGATAGAAATCAGATTCCATATCAGTTAAAAGATCATTTATATATCAGTTAAAAGATCATTTCCATGTCAGACAAAAAATAGTTTTCCATCAGTTACAGGATAGAAATGCACGTTTCATGCGTTCTGCTAAAATTGCTTGTTTTTTTTATCATTATGATAGAGAATTAAAAACAAAATTCATTAACAGATGGCGCAACTGCATTAGGTAAAATGTAAAATTACATTTTTCATGTTGAATTCCAGTTTGATCCAGATGAAGAATTCACATGGGTTTAATAAAATATTTAAATATTTGCACTGCTAATTTTATTCTGAAACTGCAATCCTCTTTTTGCCACTTTGAAATCATTGTCGCAAAATTTATCATCAGATCCTGCTGATAGCAAAATAAAACATCCCCAAGAAAATCAATTGATTTAGCATTTCTTTTTAGTTTATATTGGATACCTGCAAGTGACGTCATCGTAAATAAAGCATGACATTTGTCGATCCAGAAGCCAATCAGGTTCGACTCACAGTTATGACGTCGCTTACAGGCATTCAATTAAATCTGATTTAAATAACATGGTGAGGCATAATCACTTAATTTTTTTTCGAGTAGCGAGTACCCAATTACCTGTTTTCGTGGTGTGGGAATAAAAAGTTGTTTTACTGTTTTCCTTAGTAATCGCAAATATTTCAAATCTAGTTTTAGAACTATGTTTGAAAAAAATAATTTTCAAGCAAAATATCATTAATTTTATAATTGGTTTCTTCATTTAATGGTAAGTCCATTATAAAAATTATTAACACGCAACATAAATGCTTTTTTTTAGTTGCAATAAAATATTTAAACTTTTTTTGTGCAAAAAAAGAAGGAAAAAAGCAGATTTCACGTTCAAATTTTAATAGCATTAAAACGATTTTTTTATGATTAGATAGAATTTTGTGAAAGCCAATTTTATTTTTTATTTCTTAGATTTTCTTTATAAGATACCTATAGCGAGTTAATAATAGTTTAGTGACAGTTGTTTAAACCTAATTAGCATCATAACGAGTCTGGTTTAGTTATGCTTAAACTTTCAAAAGAATATTGCTTGTGGTGCTAAAAAATTTTTTTTGACTTAAATTAATAAAAATCGCATTTCTTTGATGTGTCTAAAGAAATTATAATCTTTCTAAAATAATTAAGAATTCCCCCCCCCCCAAAAAAAAAAATTCCAGAAAACTTAACAGTGCCCGAGGTTAAAATAATTAAAAATATTCAAAAATAACCGTTCATCTTCAGAATTATAAAAGAAAATACTTTACTTAGAGATTTCTAATTTAAGATAGATATTCATTAAAATGAATTAAGTTTTGAAAGACTATCTAAGCACTCATTAAGCTTTATTAACAATTTACATTTTCATGGTAAATTAGTTATGACAGACAGGCTGTGAAGTGAAAAATTGAATTTTTAATTAGGAGATTAGAGTAAATAAAAAATTACTTTAAGCACGATTGCTTCGGGCTACCGAATGATTAATAACGCTTCATGTTTATGATTCTTTTGTTTTTGCATATTAGCGACAAAGATAATAGAATAATAACATTAATATGATGTTATTGAAGTCAGGAAGCAGAGAAAAAATAAGAGGAAAAAAAAAACCTGCTTTTATGAAATTCAATGGATATGCATTATTTATTTTAGAAGGAATTTCTTCAAAGTTTTTTTTTATGTTTAATTTAAGTATATCTCTTATGAGCTTATTTTATTACCGCCGTTGGACAGCCAACTTAATTTTGAGTTTTCGACTAATAATTTTCAACTTGTAACTTTGAACCCTATCCAAAAGGAAATGAAACTCCTGGATTAAGTATTGGAAGAAATTTGCCTTCTTGGAGAACATTATGATAGAAACATGCGTTACATAGAGAGGGAAACCACGAAAATCACCCACTGCTAACCTGGAGGCAAAGGGACTTTAACCCTGGATCCGTTTAATACAGAGGATATTTTACGTCAGCACTGTAGTTGGTGTGGGCAGGGTGCGGAATTCGCTTAGACCAACAATCGATGGGATTCAAACCCGGGTCCCCTCATTGGGTGGCAAGCGCTGAAAAGTTCAGATTTTTTTTTTTATCTAATGCTCTTTTAAAGATAACCGAATAGTTAAGGCTTAATAATTTCATTAGAAAACAAGCTGCTTTTGGAGACCAGCCAGTCATTTTTCAAAATTTTCTTATGCAGTTCGCAAAAGAAAAATCGGACCACTCTGAATAACTTTCGATTTAATGATATGATCTTCACATTCTACGGTTCAATCTTAAAGGTGCAAAAGAGTGAATTCAAATATTCTAATTGAGAAGTGCAGACGATAATTTAAGTTTCGAAATCAGTTCAGATTAAGTTTCGACTTAAAAAAGTATTTTCGTTGAATAAACATGCCCTTTTTTTAACGGATTCGGATTCTGATGTAGAGGGTAGCCGCAATCAGGGAAATATGATCGCCATAGAGGAGAGGACTTTAAAGTTTGTACCCTTAATGTTAACTTTACCTTTTGATCATTTTGCTATGTCTCTAGAACTTTATAAGCAAATTGAAAAATATTTGCACGCTATCCTAAAATTCATTTATTCAAAAGTAATTTCATGCATAAAATAATTTTTAGTAATATTTATTATTTCTTATTATTTTATTTAATAATGGTCGAAAAATTAGGTACAAAATTTCTTACATTGTTTCAAAGAATATAATTTTACATGGTAAAATACAAAATTTGAGCAAAATCGATCGAATGGTTCCTGAGAAAATAAATTTCAAAAAAGTCGGATATTTAAGATTCAATTTCTTAGGAACTATTCGTAATTTAAAATATCGTCTACACTCATTAATTAGGATATTTAAAGTCATTTAATTAGGATTAAGATTGAATCCTAGAACATTAAATTCCGATCATTAGGTCAAAAGGTATTCAGAGTGGTCCGTTTTATTTTGCACACTGTACATTATATAACCTTTTAATGGTTACCAAGATGAAAGCTCAGCACAACTGTAATTAAATATTCGAATTCTTCAACCCTATCCTATATTTCTTACTCTTTAATTGGCTTGGTTGTTTTAGTTTAAACAACAACGGTAAGTTTTAAATAACTTACTAACCAATTTTTTTTACTGCCTAGCTCTCGCTCGGGTGAAAATAGTTTGATTTTAATTTTTACTATTTTCGATAGATGTCACCGATATTATCGAAATTCCTTATGTGCAGAATTTTATAGTAATAATTTCAAGTCTGCACTGCAGCCACTAAATCATACAAATCACCATAAGAATGAGTTTGGGGCATTTTAGTTTGGGGCGCAGAATAATTGAAATTATTTCTATCTCCTGACTTGCGATAAGATAAAAAACTCATTCCAACTGTCCATTTCATGTTATACTACTTCCTCACGCCCCTCTCGAGCCATTTCTTGAGTGTTGTATAATATGCATATGCTATTTTATTTTATAATTATCATTCAACAGCCGAACCAGTTTTGGGTTTACGACTACTGATGTTTAACTCTGCAGCCTCGTAACTTTGAACCCAATCCAGAAGACAAGAGAACTCTTGAATCAAGTATTGGAGGAAATCTGACTTCACGTAGAACTTTTTTTTGACGAAACTAACATTATATATACAGAAAACCACGAAAAATTTCCATGCTAAGCCTGACAGCAACGGGATTCTATCCCTTGATCTATCTACCGATGAGGATATTTTACGTCAGCATTTTGGTCGGTGCGAGCCGGGTGCAGAATTCGTATTGACCAGCCGTCGCTGCGATTCGAACCCAGTGCACCTAATTGGAAGGCGAATGCTCTATCCCCTGAGCCACCACGGCTCATGTATATGCTATTGCACGTAAAAGGCAAGCTCCGTCAACATGCTGCCCCATAGCACCGTTTATGCTTCAAACTTTCTTCTAGACCTATTTTAAAATGAGTCAAAAATAAATCTAAATAGGCACTTCGTAACTAAGTTTTTATGTCTATAAGAGTGCGAAATTATTTTAAATAAATACCTAAAGTGCAACCATTCAACGCTACTTAAATTATTACTTTAGATAACCTAGCAAAATCAATCTAAATAAATACGTAATGTGTAACTAATATTTTTAACACTGCATAAATTGTCATTTAAGACAACCTAACAAAATGAATTTAAAGAAATTCTTAGTATATAACTAATTATACAACATTCTACAAACTAAATTAAATTTAAACATGTTCAATTTTATTTAAGTTAGAAAGTGTTTTCCGCCCATGGCTGATTCAGTTAAGTTAATTAACAGAGCAACAATGTTGAAATTAAATTAGTTTGAAACAATTATGAATTCGTAACAAAATCTTAAAAGTATTGTATTAAATTTTTGCAGATGGAAAAAAAGCTCACTTTTTAACATTTCCTATTCATATCTACAAATATTCTTTTATTAATAAGAAAAAAAAACTTTCATTACTCAAAATAATGAAGCATGCAGCACTCTTCCGTTAAAGTTGCAAAAAATTAGGCAAAAAAAGTGAGCAAAAAATGTTAAACTTCAGAACACTAATTAAAATTAGCGTTTTACTATGTTTTTAAAACATTTTTTTTTTCTTCTAAAGAAAAAGAAGATAATTATTTTAGTCATTTTCTTGGTTTCATACCAGAGTTACTTTATGATTTTTTTTTTTCGTTTCTTAAAGCTTTTGTAAAATAACAATGTAGAAATTTTTTGATTTTTTTTTCTCTCTAGGAAGGGTGAAAGTGCTTCAGGACGTTCGAAAAAGTTAAAGGTTTATTCGATAGAATTCTGCCCGAACAGAATCAAGTTCGGCAATAAAAACAAAACTATTCTTTTTACAAAAAAATACGAAAAAAACAGGTATTGTGTTTTTACAGTTTTTTTCGTTGAAAAAAAATTATACGTTGAAGTGAACAACTCTTGTTTTGTACTATTGAACTGGAAAAGAAATTTTTTTTGGCCAAATATAAGAATGTGAAACAAAAAAATTTTTTTCAAGTTTTTATAACTTTAGAGTTATATATTTTTTTGTAAAAGCGTCTAGTTAAAATACTATTAAATATTTCGACTGTATAATGACAATGGTTAACATTTTTTTAACTAATATTTCTAGATTTTGTTAACAAAAACTAAGAACAGAATTAATGTTTAAGGTAACAGTTTTAGCTAAGGAGAGGTGAAAACTTGTGTAGTGTGTGTAATTACAAGGCGTTGCTACATTCAAGAGGATTCTACAACGCGGGAGAAAATCATCAAATTGAATTCTCCTTAACCTGCATTAGTACTTTAAAATTTAAGGTATAATGAAAAGGGAAATCCAGGTAAGCTCAGAGCAAAGCATGAAGCTTAAATATCATTTTCAAAATATCAACTAATTATGTCAGGATTAGTTCTCCGCAGCGTATTTTTGAGTGTGAGTCCAGAGGGTAAAAAATTGGTGTAAAACTTATGGTTAATTACAGTAAAAGTAGAAAAATTTAATAATCCAATGAATTGAGCTTTTAGACTTAAGTTGATCATTCATTTCTGGAAGATTTGCTGTTGTGTTTTAAGAGCTGATAATTAAAATCTTTATTTGACACAACGGTTTCAAAGATAAGAAAAAATGACACCACAATGTTTTCATGCTTTGCATATTTGCTCTCCAAATAAACTGATTTCCTTTTATGTTACTATACTGATTTCTCTTAAATTGCACTCAGAAGCTCTATTTCGTTGCTTATGCTACTTTAAACGCTAAACCAGAATATGGATACATTGAATCGCAATACGGTTCTTATTTATTGCAACCTTTAAAGGGGATAAATTAAACCATGTTCCCTTGCTAATTAAATCATATTTCATTTCATTTTATAATCGTCGTTGAACAGCAGGCTCAATTTTTTTGGATTTACGACACTAATGTTTAACTTCGTAGCCTTGTACGTTTTAACCCAATCTAGAAGACAAGGGAACTCCTGGATCAAGTATTGGGAGAAATTTGCCTTCGTGGAGGATTTTTTGATGGAACTAACAGCATTTCCGTTGCATGTAGAGGAAAACCACGGAAACCTACCATGGTTAGTCTGACAGAAAGAGGACTCAAACCCACGAGCCGTCTACCATATAGAATATCTACTATGAGGATATTTTACGACAACACTGTGATCGCTGCGACTCGGGTTCGGAATTCGAATCAACCAGTCATCACCGGATTCGAACTCGGTTCACCTCATTGGGAGGCGAGCACTCTATCCCCTGAGCCACCACTTCTCAAATTAAATCATATGTAATGAAATGCTAGTAGCACTGTTATATGGTTCAAATTATCACTTTATTAAGGTTGCACTAAATTTGAATGACATTTGCTCAACGCGCTCTAAGACTGTTAACTGTGTATGTCAGAAAAAAATAAATGGAAGAAACATTAATATTTCTGTACACGTTAAAATCCAGATTAAATGTTTTATATTCCTAGTTTTATTATTGGCCTCTATTGGCCAATGACAGTTATTTATGGTTAAACGTGGCATTCGTATTATGGTGTTATTCCAAAACATCTGCCAAAACTTACATTCTATCCTGAAAAGCGTGGAGCTATTTACACTAGGACCGAGATCATTAGCTGAGCTCACACAAGTGAAAGTACTGAAATCGAAACTCGTTGCTGGTAGATGACTTAAACTCCAGGACAGAGTGCTAACCACAGATTTGAGGACGTTCCTTTTCGGATCTGGATCCAGGACCATCGTTTCTGTGAGAAAGAACTTTGAGTCTAACAAAGAGTCTGTTCCACGATACCATGTCACATTGCAGAGGGGATCACATTCCACGTGGCACATCAATCGAACTGATGACGCATTTCTTGCGGCACCAGATTCTTTTGGTAGAGGTCGAACGAAAGCTGGCGGAGCTGTTGGACGAAAGAAAGGGTTACATATTTAGTACAACGCTCTCAAAAATATCATAATTATCTAAATAATAAGTATAAAATAAACCTGATTGAAATAGCGACAATTTTATGAAATTTTATATCATTATAGTGAAAAAAAATTGGAATACTGTTTGCACTCTAAGAAATGCTATTGCGATTTTATGATATTGTTATTAAATGCTATCGTTATTTGATTCAAATCCAAGATCTATTATATATAATTCTCTTACGTGGCTCCCAAATTTTGGCTGTATTTCTTTTCCGCCGGTGGCAACGTTTGCTTTGTTTTGCTTACGTTTTGAAAACACCAAAGCATTCTGCCTTTTAATGATGTGTTTCTGATCTAATATATNAAAATATGTGAACTGTTTGCAATTTCAAATTAATATTGAAATGTACAGGTTTAGAATTTTCTACAGTGAAAAGTTTTCGGAACTTCAGTATTCAAAAAAGTATACAAAAACTAGACGTTAAGAACGTATCCAATGCGAGAGCAAAGCGAGCATTGGATTGCGAAGCAATCCGAAATGAACTGCGAAAGCAGTTCCGGGGGTTGGCGAGCGCCAGCGAGCAGGGGGCGGAGCCTCCTAGTATTGTAATATTTTTAATAAATAACAAATTTGTCTATCAAATTGTTGCTTAATAATTAATTAATTCAAAATTATAATTACAGCTGATAGTATCACATGTTGTTGTTCTTAATCATAACTGGTCTGCTATTTTGATTAGACCAGATCCCTTCTATACAATACCAAATGTTAGAAATACATAAACGAAATGCAACTTAGAAGTATTTAATTAGTTTCAGAACCGTAATTAAACGTTGAAAGTAGCTTATTTGTTGATTACAAAAATGTCAAAATGTGTGCGTCATAGCGAAAAACAGAATCATAACAGAAGCGTTTTAATCGTTACTTAAAATATCTCAAAATCCTAACAATTACATAGCTTTTCAAAGTTTTGCTTACAGAAAGGTTTTTAAAATCATACCGCTATCACAGTTTGATTCCTTGGAGCTGAAACATTTTTTTTCTTTCCAATGCCCACTTGGAGAATGACCATATTAGGTGGGCCAACGTTGCTCTCACAGTAAGAACAGATAGTACAGAGAATGAATGAACATCCATGCCTTGCGCGGGATTCGAACTCAGAACCTTTCTGATGCAAGGCCAGTTCCCTGACCCCTACACAGGCCGGTCGGCTGGGGCTGCAACATAAGTAGCAGCAAACGTATGTCAACTGTAGTGGTTATGGTGCTACAGAACCCATCCTCTATTGGTTCAAAAGGTTAACTTCAAATATGCTAAATAATTTTTGTCAACCATTATTTAATTTATAGAATCAGACCCAATTACGTATTCCCTTTAATTAATCATACCAGATCACCGGACTTGGAATCTTGAACGACAAAAAATAGGGGGTAATCGTAATTTGCAAAATATAGTTTCATTAGCTTAAAAAAGACTTTTCGAAAGCTTAAAACCCTTAAGTAATTTTTTTTTGGTGTTTTTGGTCAATACTCTAAAACTATAAGAGCAATTCAAATAGTTCTTGCACTTATGAATCCATTAATCCGTTATGACATAAAGCGTTGTTGACATGTTTAATAACCCATATATACAATTTGTAAACGTAATGCTTCATTTTAATGTAACACGCACATTTACAATGCGATGTTGTTGTTTTTTTAAATTTTTTTAAAACTAAATATCGATTAAAGTCTATTAATGGGGAAACCTGATATTTAAATCATAACAAATATTTCTCCTTGAGAAAATTTCCTAGCATAGCACTTTTTGAATTGCTTTAAGACATTTTTGCTCATTTAAACTTCGATACAATATTCACATGAAACTTTTTATTTTCTCAAACTCTATTGAAAATTCTCGTAAATCTTACACAAAAAGGTAATACGCAGTCCTTTGAAATATACTTTTATACTGATTTTTCTTTCAATATTTCATCAAAGTTCGTTCTCTGAATGAGAGTTAAGCACCCCATTCATTTTCTGAAAGTACTGAAATCAGGAAACAAAAATCCCAAATTCAGATTTAAATCCTCTCTCTCGCATTTGCTTTGATGTGTGGAGAGAAAGTAGAGTCATTCGATTTCTATTCCACTTTATTGGCGCGAGGCCTTTATATTTCGCGCCTATTCCATTCATTTTGGCGCGAAGAAAAAGAACGGGATTTAAAAGGGGAGAGAACTAAAAGTTTACACAACCCTGCGGATATTTGCATCGGAAAAAAGCACACTAAAGCTTTTGCTGCTAGTTTTCTAATAAAAATATAGCTACTTCAGCCTATAGCTAGCACGTCAGCGAAGTTCCAATGCCATTGTATTTCTGAATTTCTTATCTGGTAAAATATATAGAAAAGAAACTAGAAAACCGGATCTGGAAGTTTATGTTTCATTCTTTGTGCTTCTTCGCGGGTGAATAAAGTTAAATGCTTTTCCGAGTTTTCACGGGGAAAATTTATTCGGGAGGATTTCGGGAATGCTTAGAGGAACGCGATATTCCGGTTTCGGATAAGGCTCCCGGAAAATCCGCCGCGTATATCATTTGAATTTTTTGCATATGTGCTCCGGAATTCTTCTCCTTTTCTTCCAGAACATCGTTTTTCCCCTTTTTTTCAGTAGATACATATAAATGGAAAAGGGGTATTTGAGGGGATGGTGAACCTTTTTTTTTCTTTCTTTTCTCTCGCTTAACGTCTAGTGCCTTTATATGTCGTGCTCAGCATAATTTCGACGTCAGAAAATAAAGAAGAGCGAACGGTACTGAAATGCATAATTTTGAATCGAAAATCTACCAATGGGTTTTAGTCGAGGACTTTTTTCTTTATTTAGTCACGAGTCAATCCGGGACAAACATAATACGTTTTCTTAGTTAAGTGTCTTATGTCTCTAATTATTTCTCAAAATTGAGAAAACATGTGGCAAAATAGCTCCAAACCAAATTTATTCAAATTTAAATACTCCATATATTAAATATTAATACAGCATGATGCAAGCTTGCAATTTTAGCATAATAGCACGGTTTTAAAAATGACATGAAGGGAGAAATATGTGAAAGTAATGTTCGCTGGCTGCCAGTATGATTCGAATCAAATACCTCCTGGACCATAGTAGGATACTATAATCATCATGGATGCACACACCTGACCAGGGAGAGTTATTGCCTCCGCAATGACACACATTATGGTATATTTTAATTCCAATTTCAATGGTACTTAGGGCTGCGATTCAGAAAATATGGTCAATATAATACATATGGCCATAGTTGTATAATATATATAAATATGGTCAATTCAGAAAATATGGTCAATATGTTCAATAGCTTAGTCAAGAGACATTCACTTAATTCACTACATTTTAAAAACTTTTAAGGGAATGACATGTATGTTATTAAATGTCACTACGGAGGCCATTTTATAAAGCTTTCTAGCTCTCACTGTATTAAGATGTACAAAAATGGTGGTTAGAGAATCTTACTAAGAATCCCGGGGTTCTCGGTTTGAATCCTGCAGCCAATCAACCAGCATCTCTTTCACACATTTCTCCCACCATATGCCTTTTGCTTGAAAATAAGTATGTGTTTTTTCAAATTTGAATAAATGTGGTTTTAAATTCGACTGTTATTATTAATTTTTAATTCTATTAATTTTTTATTGCTGTTTTGTCATATTTTTGCTCAATTTTTAGAATTTTTTTTCAACAGTGTGTCATACTGCAGCGTTTTTATATTAGGTAGCAAAAGAAATATTTATGTAAATTTTGTCCCAATAAAGAGACATTAAAAAATTACTGTATTTGCTAACTGTCCATATTAGCTGATCTAATTGAGAAAGATTGGTATTCAACAAAAGCTTTTCGACAACATTCGTGATCAGGTGTTGGAATGGATGGAAAAATAAAAGGCAGGTTTTTTGATCAAAAAAGAAATAGAGATATTTACTGGACAGTACATCTTGTCCCTTTTGACTTGCCCAGGCTCGAAATTACGAAAATGTGTAGAAAATGTGCAGGGAGTATGTTGGTATAAAAAATTACCAATCGATAATTAGTTCGAAAATTATTAACTCTTTAACTAGTAGTAAAAAATACTATGCAAGCCACTCTGCAGCAGCATTTGCAGAATTGCAAATAGAGAGCTGACTTTTAGCATTTTAAAAGGGGCATTTTTATTTATGAACTTGACATGAGTATTTTCGAGACTTTAATTTGTTCGAAATTAGTTACAACTGAAGCGGTCAGTGTTAAAAGGGGTTATGTTACAAATCTGCATTTTCGAGAAAAAACAAAAAGACTATGCTAATTGTGGAAAGATTGTTCTAATTGCCTCCAAATTGAGGCAGTCTAGTAAATTACTCGGTATTTGATAATCGGTGATTGATATTCCAAAACCAACAAAAAAACTTATGTCAATACCCCAATTTAAATAGGAAACTGTTTTAATATCTCTTGAGCTCTAAATTAAAATATTTATATATTTGAAAAATTCAACTTAAAAGTGAAGACGTTATATATGGCACATCTAATCGCTCTCTTTTTTTCAATCCAACTAACTAAAAATGTTAGATACTTCCATTTTATCATTGACCATTTCAATTGTGATTTCTTTCCTTATTTTTGCTTTAAATAATGATAGTTTATTCATTGTCGTGGGGAATTTTATTTATCGCTGACAGCTTCATTTTTTGCGCTCACCAATGTGTTGATTGAAAAAAAAGAGAGCGAAAGAGAGCGATTAAATGTGCCATATATAACGTCTTAACTTTTATGATGAATTTCTCAAATATATAAATATTTTAATTTAGAGCTCATAAGATATTAAAACAGTTTCCTAATTAAATTGGGGTATTGACATAAGGTTTTCATTTCATACCGTTAATGAGTATGACTTCGAATTATTATGTCACATACTCTGTTTTATTTTAATTGAAGTTTTTCAAGTGCTTTTATTTAATTTTGAAATTTAATTCATTATTTTGTTACGATTAACATATTACAAACAAAAGCAGTAAAAAATTGTATATAGTATAACAAAAGTATTACATTATTTATTCACAAAATGTTCTTACATAAATTTAGCAAATTGTTATTTGCTTCTTTTAAGAATACTGAATTTAGAAAACAATGATGCGAGTTTTTAAATGCAGTTTTTGCTAACAAAAGCCTTCTAATGCCGAAAAAAAAGTATTTAACTTTTACCATTAGTGCTTGCTGTTCTGGTGGTCAATTAAAAGTGAAATAAAGATAATTAATATACACACAAGAGCCATTACATTGACCACCCTCCATTTATAACAATGGGCTCGCCCCGGAACAATGCTTTCATGGGGCACATTAGGATTCATAATCCTCATAGAACTATCCCTGACGTCTGTTATTCTTGGTTGCTTGGTTGATACTTGGACATAGTTGCAGACCAGGTTCACCCATTCATGGCAACAGTTTTTCCTGCGGGGGATGGNAATGATATATTAACATTGTCGTGGGGAATTTTATTTATTGCTGACAGCTTCATTTTTTGCGCTAACCAATGCGTTGATTGAAAAAAAAAAAGAGAGCGAAAGCGAGCGATTAAATGTGCCATATATAACGTCTTAACTTTTATGATGAATTTCTCAAATATATAAATATTTTAATTTAGAGCTCATAAGATATTAAAACAGTTTCCTAATTAAATTGAGGTATTGACATAAGGTTTTCATTTCATACCATTAATGAGTATGACTTCGAATTATTATGTCACATACTCTGCTTTTTTTTAATTAAAGTTTTTCAAGTGCTTTTACTTATTTTTGAAATTTAATTCATTATTTTGTTACGATTAACATATTACAAACAAAAGCAGTAAAAAAATTGTATATAGTATAGCAAAAGTATTGCATTATTTATTCACAAAATGTTCTTACATAAATTTAACAAATTGTTATTTGCTTCTTTTAAAAATACTGAATTTAGAAAACAATGACGCGAGTTTTTAAATGTAGTTTTTGCTAACAAAAGCCTTCTAATACCGAAAAAAAGTATTTAACTTTCACCATTAGTGTATGCTGTTCTGATGGTCAATTAAAGGTGAAATAAAGATAATTAATATACACCGAAGAGCTATTACATTATGACCACCCTCCATCTATAACAATGGGCTCGCCCCGGAACAATGCTTTCATGGGGCACATTAGGATCCATAATCCTCATAGAACTATCCCTGACGTCTGTAAGCTACTTGGACATAGTTGCAAACCAGGTTCACCCATTCATGGCAACAGTGTTTCCTGCGGGGGATGGTGTTTACCAATAGGATAATGCATAATGTCATAAGAGCCGAATCGTCGAGGAACATTCCAGTGACTTTCAAGTCATGTCTTGGCCCCCAAATTTACCTGACCTTAATCCAATAGAGCATTTGCGGTCCTACTCGGTAAACCAAATTCGTGCTGCCACGTTACCCCCTCGCAATGTGAGGGAATTGCAGGACCAGTTGGGGAGCGCTTGGTACCAGATACCCCAGACTACCTATCAGCACCTTGTGGAATCAATGCCACTTCGAGTGCTAGCAGTATTGAGAGCGAAAGGTGGTCCTACATGTTATTAGCAGGGGAAGGGGTCATAATGTAATGGCTCTTCGGTGTATACTTATAGAGAAGATAAGAAAAACTATTGAAGTAACGTTAAAAGTGAACGAGTGGCACTCAAAACATTATTTTTTCTAGTTAAAAATTATTTATTCAAAATTTTAAAATTCTACTAATTTAAATATTTTTTGCTTATTATTGAAATTAAAATCTTTTATTTTTAAAGGATTTCATTAAAGCACCGGTAATCGAATTAAAATTTTACGGTAGACTAATAATTTTCTAAATGTTTTAGTACACTGTTAAGCAGCAATTAAATCAAATCAAACGATGATAATAATTGTGCAGATATTTTTTATACTTCATATAATATCTGTTGATATTCTACCATTCCAAAGACAGAATATCGAATTGTTACCCCCAAGAGTGTCTTTCGAATCAGCAATCGCAAAGTCTCATCACTTTCGATTCAGTATGTTAGGTATCTTTCTCGACCCTCGTCGCTCCATTCGACCCCTGAGTCCAATGAATTAACCCCACTTCTCGATTTCTCTCTGTTATCTTCACCCATACAGCTGCCAGCCGTGTGGACAAAGGCAACCCCTGTCGAATCAAAAGGATTAAGACAGGAAAATAAAAGATTCAATCCATGGTACTACTGAGCCCAGGTACTTATATAAACATAAAAGACAATTGCTGGCTCGGCGCCAAATAGTGAACTTGTTCCCCAAATAGTCAGGATCAGGAAAGGTCTTACTTGTTTTAAGAAGTTCGTCTCCAGGACAAAAGGAAAAAAAAAGGGATTATGTTCAATAAAGCAAGAAGGGACTTCGGGTATGTGTCGCCTGTTTTTTCCCCCTAACTGAGATTGCAGCAATAGAAGAAGGGAAAAAATAGTGTTGTTGTAGTTTTTTCCCCCTATTCTTTTTTGTCTCAGCCCGAATTGTTTTTTGATGAGGTATTCCTGATGTTATTCCATCACTTGCAGCAGTTAGGATAATGATATGAAAGACAAATAATTTATCATCCAGGCATGAAATAAAAATGAACAATTAAGAAGACGCTATAGTGGGGTATAGCGTCTTCTTAATTATGACTTTCATGCTAGAGTAAACCATGAAGTTTCAAGTGCCGAAAATGTTTTTTTAATGCAAACAAATTATGACTTGATATCTAAGGATTACGCTGAGGAGTAATCATGTAATAATTTGCTTACATTTTGATAATTTGAAAATATTTTTGTGGCATTTAAAATTTTCCGTTTTAGTCTAGCAATACAAAGTCACATTTAAAAAAAATTAAATTTTTCAATGTTTTAAAAAGACGCTGTACCGTGGTAGGTATAACGTCTTCTTAATCATGACTTTCATGGGAAATTCTCCTTCACCTACATAATTGTATTTAAGTAATACAGTCATTTTGTCAAATATTAAGTAATACAGTAAATGTACAATAATTTTTTTAAAAAAATAGAAAAAAGCGAGTTGAGGAAAGGCTAAAGTAAATCATGAAGTTTCAATAAAAGAAAACATTTTTAAAAATATCAAAATGCAAACAAATTACGGCATGATATCTAAGGATTACGCTGATCAGTAATCATGTAATAATTTGTTTGCATTTTGATAATTTGAAAACAATTTTGTGGCATTCAAAACTTTCTGTTTTAGTCTAGAATTACCTAAAGTCACATTTAAAAAAAAAATTAAATTTTTCAATGTTTTAAAAAGACGCTATACCATGGTAGGTATAGCGTTTCCTTAATCCTGACTTTAATGGGAAACTCTCCTTCACCTACATAATTGTAATTAACAGTAATTTTGAAATATTAAGTAATGCAGTAAATGTACAGTAAATTTTTCACAAAAATAGAAAAAGCTAGTTAAGGAAAAGCTAAAGTAAATCATGAAGTTTCAATTGCCGAAAACTTTTTTCAAAATATCAAAATGCAAACAAATTACGGCATGATAACTGGGGATTACGCCGTAGAGAAGTAATCATGTAATACGTTTACGTTTTGACATTCTAAAAGGATATTTTTGGATATACTTCATGGTTTACATAGTTTTTCCTGAAATCACTTTTTTAAAACTTTTAAATTTTAAAATATGTGAAACAGAAACAGATTGGATATGAAACAGAATTTGCCATGTAAATTTTCCATTTCGGTATACCGTTATTCTATCGTCAAGGAGAACGCTATTACGCACTCTTAACGATTAAGACGATTGTCTAAGCGATTGTCGTTATATATAAAATTTTCATAGTCAAAATCATTAAATGAATGTTTAGAAGCGAAATAAGAGAAAGCTTGTTTAAATTCTTGGTTTAAAGAGATAATAAGAAATTTAAGTTAGGAATAGATTCTAATATGCGATCCAGTTGAGAACTAATTGGCCAACGAAGTTATTTAATTTCTATGCTATTAGAAATGTATGAAATTGCCTTAAATTACGTTTACAATTGAACCGAGCGTATTTCTGGGACATTTGCCTTTGCCTCGATAAGTATTACATAGATTCGCGAACATATATAAGTCAAAATTGAATTTTCTTTTTTTTTTCTTTTTAGACACGCTGTAAAGATGTGTAGTAGGAAGAATTCAGCAAAACTTCTGAAGCTGCTTAAAACATTATTTCAGCTCATACATTAAGTATGTGCAACACTTTCATAGTTTTTCTTTCAGATAAAATGCAACTTACCGCTTAGTTTGAGTTTAAAATGGCCCAATGGTCCCGTTCCCACCTCATTTCTTCCAGCACAGAAATAAACTCCCTCAGACGCTGCATTCACTTTTTCCATGGTCAGTACAGAAGCAGATGTTGTGACTTGATTCGAAGAACCGTTATTGCTCATCACTCTAGTGGGTGACTCCCATAGATATTTCGAGGCCTCTGGGTGTCCGAGGTCATCTAGCTGACAAGAAAGCGTCACAGTGTGACTTTTTACAGCAACTGTCTCCAGCTGAGCAATCGTTGCAGACCCAGGTGGATCTGAAAATATATATTTAAATGCAGCATTTGCATATGATTTGTTTTATAACTCAAAATTTAAACAAATAATTTTTAAGAGACCCAAGATGATACTAGAGTCATGGTGGCTCAGAAGATAGAGCACTCATCTCTAAATGAGATGACACGGTTTCTGGCCGATTCGAATTCTGCTCAAGGCTCTCGCACCGAGCATTGAGATGACGGGAAATATCCGCAATGGAACATGGGTTAGAATCCCCTTTGCGACGGGCTAACCAAGGGAGGTTTAAATAGTTTTCCTCTCGATGTTACGCAAATGTGGATATGTTCCATCAAACATACTTTGAATTAGATTTAAAAATTACAAAGCTATGGAGTCGACCATTGATAGTCGCAAACCCAAAACTAGGTCGCCTCTTTATTGCCAGTTATAAAATAAATAAAATTATAAAACCAGTTTGATTTTATCTATCAAGTGAGTAATTGAATATGTAATTTTATCTTCTAAGGTAAAATTTTTTTACAGTAGTGCAGATTGCGATATATGCCCTGCGGTATTATATGCTAAAATAAAAACTTTGTACGTTTTAAAGTCGATTAAGAGGGCGAAATTTGATAAATAATATAGTGAAGTTTTCCGTGTTTCTGGCTCTATGGAAACACTAAAAAGGTCGGTAATTTTTTTTCAATATGCTTTGATAATGATTTTGGTAAAATTAGGAATAAAATATATTTTTATAATATGTTACAAAATGTGTTGATCGTGGTAAAATTTGGTAATTTTATCATGATACTTCAGAGCGTTTCACTAAACCATTTATTTTGTTAGATTTACTTTTCAGCTATCTATTTCTTACTGTATGTGTGGTTATTATAACAATAATTTTGTAAACCTGAATTTCCTGTAAACCATTACCTGAACGATTACCATTTTGATTCTTTTACCAAAATTATACTTTGTTTAGTCGAAAGGTCATTACCATAAAACAAGTTCATTTTCCTTGAATTGCTTCCTTCTTGTAGTATATACAGTGTGCTTTAATTTTTAAACGCGTTTTTCTCCTCGCTAGCAGATGTACTTTATCAATTTAAGGGGGCACCCTTCAGGTTTACTTCATATATTAAGTTACACTATAAAATGAATTTCTTATATCGGGTCCTTACATTGTATTTTAAACATATTAAATAATAATACAGCTCAAAACAAGCAAGTATTATATGTAATATTAGAAATACTGTAACGAGAGCAGTAAAATATTTTCTTATATTTTATTTCATTTAATAGCATTCAACTTGACTTAATACAATATTTCTCTTACAAATTCTAAAAAAATATTTATTTTTTTGTCAACGACAAGATAAATAATAACAAGAGAAATAAACTGATGCGGAAATTGAAAATTAAAGAAATATTTACTTTAGAATTTTGAATACCGTTCTAAAATTAAAGCTAGAAAGAAAACAAACCCGTCAAGTTATTGTCTTTATCAATTTAGATAAGAATTTCAGAGTAAAGTTTGTATACACGGAAAGTAGAAAAAAAAGTAAAGCAATATTACTGTTCACCCTTTTTTACTTCGAAAGTTATATTATATTCTCATAATATAATTATTTTAATTTTTGTTTCTAAAAGAATAACATAGATCGACATAATTTTGAGGCATACATTGTAGTGTTTTCAGATTGGTTTCATGACTTTATGGTTTATACATAAATGCTGAGAAATTTTTTTTTCTTCTTTACGTTCAAATGGAATTTTTTCCGCATTTCGTCTCGATTTGTGGGGGAAGAAGTTGTACCTTGGAACAAATTGAAAACAAATATTTTATTTTCACTTGAGTAAAAATTAAGGTAGAAATGTAAGTAATATCTAATTGTTNGTTTTTCTCCTCGCTAGCAGATGTACTTTATCAATTTAAGGGGGCACCCTTCAGGTTTACTTCATATATTAAGTTACACTATGAAATGAATTTCTTATATCGGGTCCTTACATTGTATTTTAAACATATTAAATAATAATACAGCTCAAAACAAGCAAGTATTATATGTAATATTAGAAATACTGTAACGAGAGCAGTAAAATATTTTCTTATATTTTATTTCATTTAATAGCATTCAACTTGACTTAATACAATATTTCTCTTACAAATTCTAAAAAAATATTTATTTTTTTGTCAACGACAAGATAAATAATAACAAGAGAAATAAACTGATGCGGAAATTGAAAATTAAAGAAATATTTACTTTAGAATTTTGAATACCGTTCTAAAATTAAAGCTAGAAAGAAAACAAACCCGTCAAGTTATTGTCTTTATCAATTTAGATAAGAATTTCAGAGTAAAGTTTGTATACACGGAAAGTAGAAAAAAAAGTAAAGCAATATTACTGTTCACCCTTTTTTACTTCGAAAGTTATATTATATTCTCATAATATAATTATTTTAATTTTTGTTTCTAAAAGAATAACATAGATCGACATACTTTTGAGGCATACATTGTAGTGTTTTCAGATTGGTTTCATGATTTTATGGTTTATACATAAATGCTGAGAAAAATTAGTTTCTTTCTGCACGTTCAAATGAAATTTTTTCCGCATTTCGTATCTAACTGTAGGGGGAGGAGTTGTATCTTGAGCAGTTAGAAAATAAATATTTAATTTTTACTTGGGTAAAAATTAAGGTAGAAATGAAATTAATAACTAATTGCTTACTATTTAAAGAATATATAAGCAGTTTAAAATTAAAAATATGTTAGTTTAAAACAGAGCAATAAATCATTTTTTACAACCTTGCAAAAGGTATAACAATCCCAAAGTACAACACTAAGTTGTAACTAGGGATACAGAGTGTTTGTTGTACCCTGGTACTAAATTAAAAATAAATAAAATATAGCAAATAAATCTTATTTAATGAATATAAAATACAAAACATAATAGAAAACATAAAAAAAGGCTTCTTTAGCTTTAGAATAGTCCAAGGGCATGTCATATGCACTGAATTTCACAGGAAGCTTGAGTGATTGCTGTTGTTGCTCTGAAAACCCTGTTACTGAGAGTGGAGGCCATTTACATATTTTTTCTTCTTCATCTATTTTATGTATAGTTTCATTTCTTTAAAAAAAGATATTTTATCCTGATTTAACAGGTTCGTTCCATTTTAACAATTTAGTCCCAAGGTACAAAAAATTGAATAAAACAAAAGCATGCCCTGTAAAAATATTCGTGGTTAGTTGTTCAGATTAACTAACCATACTATTAAGTAGAACATAATTAAAAGTTCAATATGCTATCTCAGAGATGCCTACTTGCTCCGGACAGCAAATATATATTTTAAAGTGATAGTTTATCAATTGTGATTCTTGATTTAATAAATTCAATTTAGTCGATTTTTATCCGCCACAATTTCTAAATAATTCGTAGGCTTATATAATTCACCACTTTATAGAACTTATGTCATGCTATACCTTTTAAAAAGGAAGCAAAAATAGTCAAATATTTGCAAAATTTACTTTGCAGTTACTTACCGTTTTTTTTTAATTATTTTGTCGCGTCCGGAGCAGTTGGCATCTCTGCTATCTTGATTTTTAACCCTAATCAATTAAGAATATGTAGATAAAAAAAATGAAATAATGCTAATTTACTTGTCGATGCATTTTTTCCCTTTTATTTTCTAAATCCCGCTAATCTCACTCTAAAGTTGCTAGTTATTCTTCCCTAACTTTTGGTGATTAAGGGAACAACTATGTAATTCAGGTAACTTTTATTAGTCGCCAATTGATGACAAAGCTATGCTGTTCGTCCCAAGATGCAACTGTCCTAAGGTACAACGCTCTCCTCAACTACATGATCTTAAAAAAGCGAAGTAGTATATTGAGCAAATGATAACAATGAAAAAAAAAGAAACGTAATACTCTAAAAAACTTTAGATCTAATGGTCAAATTTTCTAAGAAATTTTTTTATTGGTTTGAAGAACAGACTTTAATTAAGGTAGACGATATTTTGAGCTAAAAAATGATACAGAAAAACAGAAAGAGAACGTCAGACAGTCAGAAAGATTCAGACAGATTTTTTCCGACAGTAATATTAATATTTTTTGCCAGGACTTTAAGAATAAGATTTAACGAGGCTAATAAAAGCTTGATAAATGATAAAGAAAACAATATAACATGCATCACCAATGTAAAAAAAGTGAAAAAAAAATTTTTTTTTAAAAGAGTGAAGCTGGCTTTAGTTTGAAGATGTTGTGAATTGTTTTGGATATATTTAAAAATGTGGCTGAATAAATGAACATGTTCTTTTAATAGTATTAAGAAGAAGATCACGAATACCCACACATATGACTTATGACATCGGTGCAGGCTGATGAAGTGTTAAAGATGAGCTAAGTTTCTCCACATAAGTTAGAAGATGAATTAACGAGAAATTAATTAAACACAGCTCCGTATCACTTATTGAATTTGTTGAATTCTTTCTCGTCTGCGTCTTTTACTTAACTCAGATTTATTATTTGCATTTTATTTCAACCGTGAAATATTTTTGTTTTGTGAACCTGGCAATTTCGATGCATAATTAGTTTAGGCTCTACATGGCTTCGTGTTTGTCTTTAATTTAAATAAGAAATATATAGTGAAGGAATCGAAATCTTTGTGAAAGAATATAGAATGTTTCATTTAAGAGAATTAATTCTTGGCGGGCTTATCTTACTCGAAATAGAATGGAAAGACCAGTTTATAACGTAAGCAAATACTATGTTTCAACAACCAATAGGGATCAAGATACCCGCACTACGTCACTTGCAAGTGTCCCATTGCACAATCAAATTTTTAATTATATCATTGTCGATGGCGCTAGTTTAAACCCAGACCACTCTGCTATTTCTTAACATTTGTAATATTTAATATTGTTTAACATTATTACTTTACTATCCTTATATTCATTTAATATTTTTAAATTTAATTTTTCNAAAAAAAAAAAAAAAAAAAAAAAAAAAAAAAAAAAAAAAAAAAAAAAAAAAAAAGAAATC